TCCAAGACATACGAAGTTTTCTACGACTTCAAAGCTATGACTGTCAATAGTGACCTTATGTAGGTTCCCGAACATTGAATTAAAAAATTCACGCTATAAAGAGTCACCTTGTCTGAAACCTCTTTTGGTATGGAACGGCTTTACAGGTATTTTTCGATCTTGTATTGCTTGAGTTCAGTTTAAGTTACGACTGGTGTAAGTTTTTCAGGGATACCAAATTTAGACATAGTGCCGTACAGGCAGCTCCTTTTTGTGCTGTTGAATGCTGCATTAAAATCGACGATGATTGTAGCTTTGCGACGCCGAACTTTTCTTGTGTTTGTTGACTGGCTTTCTTTGGTACACAGAGGCGTGTGCGTATCTTCGCTGCCACAAGATAGTGATTGGGATGTCAATGTTAGGACCTTGGAACTTACGCATATCAAAACCCTGGATACATGTCTTCCGTCTATCACAACATGATCGATCTGGTTGAAAGTCTTTCGATCTGTAGATAGCCAAGCAGCTTGGTGAATTTCCCTGTGCTGGAGACTTTTTCTACAGGCAACAACTTTTTGGGCAAAGTCGATCAACCTCAGCTCATTTGGAGATTTTTCGTCATGGAGGTTAGATCTTACGACTGTTATCCCAAAAATATCTTGTCTGCTCTCACTAGCGTTCGAAGCTTTTGTCTTTGCTAATTTCGCTAGATTATATCAATACCAACGAATATCTCATTCAGCTCATCGTTCCATAGTCTTCTGTGTCCGCTATTGCTAATACGCAAGGGTCGACAAACTTTTTGCTTGGAAATATCTATCGTCCATTCAACTGAGTTATAAAGTAGGACGGGAGTGATGCCCAACAAGCCGCGACGTTGTTGTTTAAGTGACGGCTTTATTTCAATTTCCAATACGTTCTAAAGTGCCAACTGCAATACCGATTCTACAATACTTTACTTTTACTTTTTCCTTCCTGCTTCCAAGACAGATGAAATTATCTACGATTTTATAGTTATGATCCTCAAAATTGACGTGGGAGACAGGACACGATTATGCGTATCCCTCTGTCTTAAATTTAGCGTTGAACCCCTCTCAAATTCTGCTGGAGCTTTTGGCGTTGCTCTGCGCTAGTTGACACAGTCATAAACACACATTTTTCAGGAAAGACAAACTTTGAGAATGCAGCGTAGGGGAAGAATTTAAGCCCTGGCCTGGTAAACCACTCGTCTACTGGGGCCAATTTTACGCTATAAGTTGGCAAAACTTTATAAAATAAACGTTCAAACTGCCGTTGCCCCATAGCAGGCAATGCCAAGCCCTCCAAGTGTATTACGGAAATCCATCGAAGGCAGCTCAAGTCTGCATTTTTAGTCCATCAAGATGCTCATCACAAATAGTAGAAGGAGCTCGACCAAAAATCGTTTAAACGGCTGAAAAGCGTGAAATTTATATTGGGTGTATGCATTAGTTTATGCGGTTTTTTTCGTACATTAATACTTTATTGTGAAAAAAATGCTATACATTTAATTTTCAAAGTATTTCTCATGGGAAGCCACAATGTTTCCCATTTTTTTGGAAGTTTGTGGATCCCATCCCAAAAGAACTTCTTCGGCTTGGAGGTCAAGAAAGAATCGAGCCAATTTCTGATACCCTGTTCTGAAGTGAAGCATACTCCGGTGAGGGCATTCTGCATTGATCTGAACAAGTGGTAATCGGAAGGTGCTATGTCTGGGCTATAAAGCGGGTGAGGTAGCACTTCCCACTCGCAGTTTTCCAAATAGTTTTTAACTGGCCCTGCAACACGTAACCAAGCGTTGACATGATGAAAAATTATTGATTCGTGTCTGGCCGCTTATTCTGGTCGTTTTTCCGCAATGGCCTATTCCAAACGAATCAATTATTTTCTTCAGAGGTCTCCATTGATCGTCTGACCCGATTTCAATAGCTCATAATAGAGCACATTCTTGTGGCCCCACCAAATACATAGCATAACCTTGGCCCCATGGATATTCGGCTTTGCCGTGGATGTCGATGGTTGGCCGAGCTTTACATACGATCTCTTGTACTTTGAATTATCATAATGATTCCAGTTTTCATCGCTAGTGACAATCCGATGCAAAAATGACTTCTTTTGGTGGCGTTGAAGCAACATTTCCTACATGCAGATTTGCCGTTCGACGTCTCTTGGCTTTTATTCAGAAGGCACCCAATTTCCAAGCTTTTGGATGACTCCCAATAATTTTATTCGGCTGGAAACGGTTGCTTGATCAACTCCTAATACCTTTGCAAGTTTTTCTTGCGTCTGGCATGCATCTGCGTCGAGCAATGTCTTCAAATCTTCGTCTTGAAATTTTTTCGGCTATATCTAAATATGTCTTTCGTGCGTATTTCCCTCACCTTTTTTTTGTGTTTGTCTGTCACCTTTTCCATTGCAACACTGTTATATTTGCACTTCTTTCAGGTAATTATTTGCTTTTCTTACTTTTTCTTTATTGGGATCTAATTCAGCTGTAGAAGGTCACTCGTGAAAGAAGAAAAAATTGTTTACGAAATGTATTTATTTCTTATACTTCGTATATTTGCTTCTTGCTAATTGGCTTTTCTTACAAATTTTTTGTTATTTTCTTTTCACTGTTTATTTGCTTATTGCTCACCATTTTTGCGTTAATGAAGCATCAATTCCTGTACTCTTTCTGTGCTCACCTTTGACCTTGTTTTTGTACTTGTTTTCTCCTAAATGGAACGCACATTGCTTTTCGGAACAATTAACGATGTTTGTGTGGCAAAAAGTCAAGGGATACACGAATTGGAAAAAGGTTGAATAGTTGTTTTTGTATATTTCACTTTCACTTTAGCAACATAAATGAGAAAAGGTTTTGCTTGCATTCTTCAAATACTTAGTTATCAATTTCCCCTATCCAATTAAAGGGCATGACTGCTTCGAATAAGTAAATAGAAATAAATACAAAAAAATATCAGAGCTAAATTTTATATCTTTTACTATATTGGGTTGCCCCAAAGGAAACCGGCGATTTTTTTAAGGCAACATCATTATTCCACGCTCATAGAACTTCTGGCCTCTACCTGCGAAAACCTGAACCCAGTGCGATTTTATAGCCTCGTCATTTTCGAATGTTTTGTCATTTAATGAGTTCTGCAAAGACCGAAACAAATGGTAGTCCGACGGTGCAAGGTCAGGGCTACATGGTAAATGCATCAACAGTTCCCAGCCAAGATCTCTCAGTGTTTGGCGAGTGACCAAATATTTGTGGGGCCAAGCATTGCCCTGCTGGATTATGACATCTTTATGATTGGCCTATTCTGGCCGCTTCTCATTGATAGACGTATCCAATTTGTCCAGTTGTTCACAGTGGACAACCGAATTAATCGTCTGGTTCCTTGGAAGCAGCTCAAAGCATACCTCTCCCTTCAAATCCAACTAAACGGACAACTTAATCTTCTTCTGATGAACATCAGTGGTTTGTGGCGTTCATCATAATTAGATCATGATCGTTTTTAAGTGATTAAAACCTGATCATATTCACTGCATTACAGATGCATATCACTAGCGTTGAAGCGGCTTGCTAAATGAATTTCTTTCAATCCATGTGATATCTAAATATAAACTTTTTTTCCTAGTCCTATGTGACTACGAACGATTGATTTTGGTATATTTAACTTCGCTCCAATCTCACGAGCAGTTAAATGACGATTCGATTCTATTAACGGCTTTGATATCGTCAACATCAACTTCACTTGGCCGACCTGAACATGGCTTTTCTTTGAGTGGAAAATCTCCCGAACGGAATTTGAAAAACTAACTTCGACACTATGTTTCTTTTAAGGTCTTCTCACCACACATCCCCATGCAGTGGTAAAGATGTGAAATATACTACAGGTCGCTGGATATATAGTGAGTGAGAGAATCTGTCACCGGGCGTCTCGCACTAATCCGCATCACAACAAAATTTTCAGTCTTTGATTGATGTCTGTACCGAAAAGAAGGACAATATGGCAGAAAATGATTTCTAAGGGCACCTTGAAAGTTTCTCTGGAGAACACCACCTTTCGTGCTTGCCACGAAACCGAAGGTATCTCGGCATAAAAGTTAAAAAATTCGACTCTAAAGGCGAAACTTCCCAAAACCTGAAGGCCGATATGGACATAAGAGATTTTTTATCAAGCTACTTGTCGGTATCTGCAATGAACAATTCGTTGCCGATTTTATGGCGTTATGATAGACGGACGGCATGTCTCTGGAGTTTTAGATGTGCGTAAATTCCGAGGACCTAATATCGTTGTGGATCGCTATATTGCCGAGCGCAAATATTCATCCTCCTCAGTTAGGGAAGAAACGTTCGTCTACAAGTAAAAGGAAGGCAAAACGTCGAAAATTTGGCACTCACAGAAAATAGAAAGCTCGACTTGCACATCTACTTTCTAACCACTCAAAGCAGCTAGAGAGATATAATTAGTTTTCGAGTTTCGCTTCACACTGCAGATATGGAGAGGGAAGCAAAACTGCGTCACCACCTGTCAGAAGCTGCGCGAGCTTAATATGGAGATTCTTATACATCCATCTTATCGTCCAAACATCGCACCAACTGATACATTCTGTTTTTGTCATTTTCTAATGATTTGGCTGATGATGAAATCGATCACAAGAGAAGTCTGTGCATATTCTTTGAAAAAAGGATTGATATGGGAGAGGATTAACTAAATTAGCTTCAAAGTAGGCAAAAAATTACTCAGCAAAATATTGCATATTTGACATAAATCGGAAAGATTTTACTATGGTAATAAAAAAATCAAAGTTGAATTTATCAAATTTAAGTTGGAAAAATATGCTTCAACCCTCTCGTAGTCTAAAAATATCTTTGCAACGACATTACAAATAATTTATTCAACCTTTTTTTGCCACCCTCATCCTTATTCAATAAATAAAATCTTACTGCTTCCTTATTTAAAATACTTATATCCTTTTCAATCACTTTGTTTCCTCCTTTTCTTTATTTTCAGCGCTGTCAGCGAAGGAGTACTCACCGATAATCCACATCTTGTGCTGCTCTTCTATCTGGCGCAACGTTTCCTACATGAGCTAATAAAAAGTTATCGCCTCATACAGGTGGTGCCAATGGACATGTCTGGTTATTATGGTAAGTGGTTACGTGCGAGACCACACACAAACATTAATTCAACTTTATACACGACAAGCATTGCAACATTTAAACTTACACACACAGTTTACACCTCATATTGCGCTTACGTTCATATAAATATACACGTATCCATATTCTTATAATGCGTTCGTCTCATAAGCGCTTTGAAACTTTTTCATACACTTACTTTTCACCTTTTTATTCTTTACGGATGTCAGCGAAAATCACTAGCATCTCTGGTACTTACTTTTATTACCACTGACAGCAATCGAAGGACCACATCTGTATATATTGGTATATACAACCAATTACTATCATATAAACACAGGCGATCATAATCACTTTTTTTACTCTTTAATTTTTTTTCGAATTAAAATGTTTTATTGAAAAAATTTTTTATTTGAAATACCTAATTCTCATTTTGTTCAAGGTTTGAGCAATTTTAAATTTCTAAAGCTTTCTTGAAAATACGCACTTAATAGTGATCGCTAGTACATACAGTGTAAAATCTACATCCAATAAATACAAACACTAACAGAAAATTTGGTCAGTGGCAATAGAAAAAAATATAGTATCTGATTAGTTGCAAACTTACATATATACAAATATTTTATACAACCTTCCACTGCCACAGAGTGACAAAGCAGGAGATGCATTCGCTTTAGGGTTATTGCTTTCTGATTGGCGTTTCCTGGACAATTCTTACATTTATAAAAACATAGGAAACACGTTTTTTATGAGTTTTGTAAAACTTTGCGTTCATTGCATACATAATAAGATGGGTTTGAGCTAGGATGTACGTATTGGTAATGCGTCAAAATGGTAAAAGAAATTGCTTCTATTCTATTCTACTTTTTCATTACCTTTTATTTTGTTTTATTTTATTTTAAATTATTTTATTTTAAACTATTTTATTTTATTTTTATTTTATTTTATTTTATTTTATTTTATTTAATTTTATTTAATTTTATTTTATTTAATAAAATTTTATTTAATTTAGTTTAACGTCATATTTTCATTATTTTTTATTCTATTTTATATATTTAATTTTATTTATTTTGTTTCATTTATTTTATTTACCATAATTTTAATATTTTAATTCATTTCTACTTTATTTAATTTTCATATTTTATTTCATTCAATTTTGATAAATTTATTTGATATATTTTTTTTTTTAATTTTTTTATTTTTATTTTTTCGCTTGGTTTAACTTCCTAAATTTTCTTCGTTTTTATCTCTATAAAATTATTTTAATTAAAATAATTTAATTTATATTTATATACGGTGTTGATAGTTCTATTTTATTTTTTTGTTATTTTTTTTCAGCAAAATTTATGTTTCCCTATTTTATGACCACTTTTTTTCTGTGCAACTACATACGCATGTTTGTAATTGCATGGTTCGAGGACTTGCCGTTTAGTTGAATTGCTTGTCGCACTGTAAGCATTATGGCAAACTTTTTCAAGTTCATTGCGCATTTCATTTGTCTCCGTCTACTTTACACAATTCGCCCTTCTCCCTTCAGCTCCATACACTTAAAGCACTCAGCAGCAAACTCGGTAACAATTCGATGATATATATTTTCATTCAAGAATACAAATATATATGTATGTATGTATTAATAAATGTATGCATTTCAGTTCGAAAACTTTACTTTCTTGCTTTCAAATCCATTGCACGCACTGAGATTGCATCCGCGTAAACTTTTTCTGCTACATTTAATGCAGACACAATTTCAACTTAGCTGCACAAGCACGCAGATATACAAATTCTTATATAATCCATACTTTCAGTGAAAGTATTTATAATAATTTAAATTTGTGTGCATCGTGGTTCTTGCAAGAGAGTTTGCAAATGTTGTGGTCGTAAAAATTCAATTTCGGTTAGATTTGGGTTGGATATCATTGCGAAGCATAAACTATTTACAGTTATTGGATAATGCGCCAGTATTGTATAAATGTTAGAGAGCTAAGAGAATAATAAAATATTTTTAAGCAGCACTCAGGGTTGTGCTATAGAGCGAAATTGGTACAAATTTAAGTGAGAAGGAATTCACGAATAGAGAAAAAAGGAGTATGATGGTGTTTAATAATGTGCGTCCTACAGAGCTGTTGGTATAATTTTCGCTTTAACACCCATTTTAGTGGAGCGCTGTCTTGCCAAGAGTAAATAAAACGGGGTTAAATTCCGAAAATAAGCTTTTCTATGTAAAAAATAATAATCAAATTAAAATGTTGTAAGCCCAAAATGGTTGTTAAACTTTAGTTGTTCTTGCTTTTTATACCTGTTACATAATACGAAACATTCAAAATATTCAAAATTTTCCTAAAAGAATTTACTGTTGTATAAAGCATAATTTATCAATCATTAAAAAATATTTTGTTAAAAATTAAATATTGTTTTAAAGATATCTTAAACATTTTATAAGCAGAAATTTTTTCAGAGACATGAATTCATTTAATAAAAAAATTTTACATGTTCAAAGGGAAGGCTTGAAATTATTAAGAAATGTTTTGCATTGGTTCATATCGTGACGATATCTATCGCGGATCTTAATCCAGCTTTTCGAATCCCTATTGGATATTCGCAATAAAATTTATAATGGTCTTTTTTCCCGCTTTTTAACTATAATATCTATGTTTGGCCATACCGTGGGAATGATTAAAAGGATATTGATATTGCGTTAAGCTAAAGTCGGTTATTTCCTGCAGCTATTTACAAGTGGTCGCAGGGCTCTCTCTTTAATTCTTGACTCATTAGAAGGGTTCGATATTCTTTCCCACCAAACACTAAATGGTGTCTTAGTTTGGATAGAATAAAAATCAATCTATTTGTCGATCTGGCAAGCGTTCAATCTCACCAACCTACGAAAAGGAGTATGATGAGTAAAAAGATGGGAAAGAGATACAACGCAATTAGATTTAACCGATGGCAGAAATGTGCGAGAAAAAAATACCAGCGTTACTTTGTAGGTTTATGATTGAAAAATAGGAAAGAAAGGAAACCATTACTCTGTTTCCGAGCTAAGAGGCTAATTATCCTCACATAGGACCATAGAAAGATTAGAGGCATTACTACTAACTACAGTTATATAATTATACTTTCCTAACTCTAGTGACGCAGGAATATTCTTCAATGGGTTTGCGCTTAAGAAAAGTGTTGTATTATTAAAAAACCAGAAATTATATATAAAATGCAATACAGAGTTCGATGTGAAATGTGTTTATTAGTTGCTTGTTCATATTATTTTGGGAAGGAGCCACTGCCTTGGATGCCTTTTTGAACTATTATTTTTCTTTTAGTCAATTTAAAATAAAATTTGGCTAAAACATAAAATAATACAAAGGAACGAACTGAACGGTCACTCCTTCAAGTACATCCGAAAAGTGAGCTTTTTGTAATCAAATTGCTTCTATTTCGCTAAGTTTCAGCCTTTCACCTCAAGCTCTATTATTATTATTATTATTATTTTTAAATTATCTCAAGAGTTACCGTTACACTACACATACAAATAACTAATAATACTGTGTTTGTTTAATAAATGCACAAAAATGCCTGAAAGATTTTAATGAATTTTTTAAATGTGCTTAAATAATTTCGAAAATGGCTTAGATTAACTCCTTGAATCCAGAACTGACCCATAGGTGGGGACTTTCGTATTTGTGGTTTCAATTACTTGAAATTTGGAACTTAGGTCAACACGAAAACAATTCATCTCATGGAGTTCGGCCGGAACAGCCAAGTTCTATTTCTGAATTGATCCATAATTACAGAAAATTCATTTAGAAGAAAAATTTACAATATTTTTTTACTTCAATTGCAACGCGAAATAAAATGCCAACTCTTTCGGGAGTATCTCTGATATTAAATGGAATAAACTATTCTTAACTTGAAAAAACTTTTAGATGTAAAACACAAAAGGAAGGAATACTCTTCGGAAAGTATATTTAACAAGGCGACAATTATATTTGTAGCGATCCGATTGTTCAAAAATGCTAATGAACAAGAAATTATGCTCGAGTCTTCTAGTTATACATATATGTTGTCTGCATATGGTTTTGGTCTTTGGTCTTTAGTCAAGAAAAGAATATATTGAATGAGAAATATTCCACGAAAAAAAAATGTTTTTATATATTTTCTTTGGGGTGTTTTTTTTTTGAGAAAATTTTTATTGGAATTAAAAATTTGTTTGAGTGAAATATTAAAATATTTCAATATTATTGTTAGCAAAAAAATTATAAGTAATAAAAACAAAACATAAGTCGGCAAATTTTTTCAGCATTTAAATACAAAATATTATAACTTTCATTACGATTATTAAATTTCTGATTGCTTCGCATTTCTTTTCTATAAATTTCTCATTAAATCTTTATGATTCCGCACATAAGAACTCCATTATTTTCTATTATTTAATATCTCCTCCATTTAAAAGCCTTAAATTACTTTAATGTTCCTGTAAATATGCGTTTAAACCACATAAACATATTTATTTTCAATTACATATCATTAAAAGTGAATAAATTACCACTTTAAATTGAAATAAATTACACAAAATCATTACTCGAATAATGTTGTAAGCTTTATTTTCGCAAAACCTACACATTCACCATATACAAATAAGTACATAACTCATTTAAGCCTCTCACTCATGGTTATGAGTATTGTTTAACAATCATTAAATACCCAACAGCGCAATGAAAAATTATAATAATGAAGCCAATAATGTGCATACAAAAATTAGTATTGCACAATTACTTCGAAAAATACGTATGCAAATAATTATGTTCAATCTGATGGCAAATATTGCAAAGCCAGTGTACAAATGCGAGTAATTAAAATGTTACTCATACGCCGTGGCTGCCATATAATGCTACACAAAAAAAGCAAACATACGATATTTGCTTATAGACTTTTATATTTCCAATAAATATGCATTTAATGAACCATCAATTTTAATTACCTTCTTGTCTACGCTTTTCTCGCCCTCCCTCGCTCACTATTGGATTTTACAGAAAATCGTGCTGGTCCCTCAAATCTCGGCAATGTCATCAGTCAAATATTGCTTTGCAAACAAATAACACCGGACTTCAATCAGGAGGAATTATGCAGCATTACAAAGGATTCACAGGAAATAGCTGTGCTGCTGGCTGAGATGCAGGAGTATATGCCACAGCACGATACATATCTGGGTGAGTACCAACATTTGTGTGTTTGTGTGGGCAACAGTAAGCAAATAAATAAATAAAATAAAGCAATGTGAAATGACAAAGGTATGCGTATGTTTGATTCACTTACAATGCCTTACGATATATAAATTTGTGTAGGCCATATTAAGCTCCAACTGTGTGCTGTATGTGTGTTGAGTGCGTATGTAAGAGTTATATGTTAAAGGCTTTTAAGGTCTGTTTGGTCGTTGTGCAAATGTTTAGTTCAACACTATAGTGGAATTAATCACAGTTGATGGGTCAGTAATTATGGTGGATACATTCTCAGCTTTTATGTATGACAATTTTAACTATTACTTACAATAGTACTTGTGATAGCTGAAATGCGGCTTATTCCTCAATAAAATACCGAGTTGGACAGCTATAAAAAAAAGAAATAATTTTTTTTCGATGGATTTCAAATACAAAAACTTAAAATTTTATTGATATTTCATCCATGCTTGATTTGGTTTTCTGCTGAGGAGGCCATTTTCTGAAACTCTAGGAACAAAGTGTTTGAGTAGAGAGTTTTACGATTTTAGTTATAGATAATCGCTTTTTAAACAAGAAAATCATAGGTATTTTCAAAACTAAGAAGAAAATTTATAAGCTTTACATACTACGAGCCGTTTGTATGCAAGACCAAAGAAAAACGTAGTACAGTGTTTTGGAAAATTGATTTATTTATTACAGCCCGACTCTTCCGCTTTACAGTCATGGGTCATCTGGATAAAAAAAAATTCTCTTCATTGTCAGGAACTTTATTTAAAAAAAAATTAGCCGTAGTAAGAAAGCTGGCGCCTCGGTGCATATTTCTGACATGAAACGAAAACGAACTCATATAAATCCAACAATTATTCGGAGACGGCTCAACATGAATTATAGATATCTTAATTACGTGAAAGAAGACATTAAGACGCCTATCACTTCCTCAGTCACAAAGCCCTTACTGCATATAATTGTATATAGAAACTAAGAAAAGTGTATATGAATGTGAACCAAGGCCAAGCCAAGCAGAGTGTAAAACTAAAGGATCCGAGAAACACTCTTTGCAGGTGATTCATAGAAATCAATGTAAACTCTCGCAGATATAGCAGGTTGAAAGCAGAGTGAAGCTGAGAGTAAAATTGATCGATGCAATGCTATTTTTAACTGGTTTTCATGGTTGACTTGCGCTGATATTGAATTGGATTTTCCAGTAATTAATTTCATTGGTTGTCCGGCTATAACTGCGTAAGCGGTTTTTACGCCAAAAAACAAAAAAAAACAAGAAGAAAGTTGTCCGTGCTTTTATTCAAGAAAGTTGTATTTTATTTTGTTAACATCTTTTATGTAACATAAACTTTTGCACCTCTTATATGAATCACTGATAGCAACTTTGGAATATGTTTAGTTGCACTACGGATTATACTTCGAAAATCATTTTCTGCTTCTGCTTTTTAGTGAATTTATTTTGCTATAACCTCTATACCAGAGTGCTTTAGTTACTTATAAATGAGTATAACTTTTAAAAACTGTGATATTTCATCACTTTCCAATAATTTTATATTCATAAAAAAGAATGGGCTTACAATTTTTTTGCCAAAAATGACATTTATGCAATTATAAAAGCGAAATTTTGACCCAGAATCCTTATTGCTTTGCTCCTATTGAACAAAGTTATTAAACAAAGAAAATTTAAATTCGTATTAATTAGATTACCTGCTAGAGAGCATAAGTATATGCCTTAGCCTAGCCAGGCCATTTTCAAGGGAATCAGCTTAGTCTAATGGCTAATTTGTTACAAACGTATATATGTACATGCATGCATGCATACGTCTGCATTTACTACTGCAAACTATTATGACAATGATGGATGTGGTTAATTTTGAAAATGGGTAAAACAACAACAAAAGTAATCCTTCACCAGCAAATGCAACAAACTGCTCTGGTGTGTAATTTAAGCCTATAAATATCGTGATTGTTTGTTTTAAGTTAAATAATTTCGCTTTATAATTGCGATTTAAAAGGAGAATTAAATTGCTGCTTCCGAGAAACCTAACTACCGGGTAGTTACAGTTTTGATTCTAAATAGACCGTTAAAAATGAGCCCACTTAGAAAGGTAAAATTTTTTTTTGTTGAAATTATTGAGACCCTTTTAATAATTTTGGATATTGATTTAATCAGTTTTCGAACCCAGGACCATTTGTTTAGTAACATGCGCTTCAAATAGCACTGTTTCTGCTAACCTCACGGCTGAGGCCATAAGATTCTTTGAGTAGAGTGAATGTGTAGTGGAATTTGAAGAACTTTTTCTTCTTCTTCTTTATTTATGTCCCAATTTCCTCTTCTTTTTTTTTGTTTGGCGCCAGTTCAAAATACCAAGTGAAACCAGGTCGCTCTACACCTGATTCTTCTCAAGGAGTGGAGGCCTTCCTCTTCCTCTGCTTCAAACATCAGGTACTGCATTGAATACTCTCAAAGCTGGAGTGCTTTCATCAATTCGGACGACATGACCCAGCCAGCATAGCCGCTGTCTCGTCATTCGCTGAACTATATCAGTATCGTAGTATAGCTCGTACAGCTCATCATTCCATCGTCTGCGGTATTCGCCGTTGTCAATGCGCAAAGGACCATAAATCGTTCGGAAAACTTTTCTCTCGAAGACTCCTAGAGCCGACTCAACAGATATTGATATCGTCCACGCTTCTGCGTCATATATTAGATATTAGCCGCCCATCATGGCTTGCATAGTTTGGTTTTCGTTTGCCGATTGAGGACTTTACTTTTCATTTGCCTGCTCAGTCCAAATTAGCACCTGTTGACCAGAGTAATTCCACATTAGAATTTATCAGCCTTGATAGACGAAATTATCTACGACTTTAAAGTTATGACTGTCAACAGTGACGTGGGAGCCGAGTCGGGAGTGCAATGACAGGAAGACAGGAAGAAGTCAAGACAGGAGATATTTCGACTTTTCGACTACTAGACCCATTCGCTTTGCTTCTTTATCAAGTCTGGTGACAGCAATAAGTTAAAAAAGTCACACAATAAAGAGTCTTTAGTATTTCACAAAATACGCTGAATAGAATTTATATGCGATTTTAAAAAGACTTATACCATGGTATTTGACGCCGACTGTAGGATCGGCTTTTTTTGTGGATTGGGCAGAGCACACTTAAATTCATGTTTTCGTCCGACCATATTCTGCAAGATAGCTGATGCATGCACCTTGTCAGCTCTTCACCGCCATGTTCCATCAGCTCTGCAGGAGGGCCGTCAGCTTTGCCAGCTTTGTTATTCTTTAAGCAGGCAATCGCTATTCGAACTTGGGCATGGTCATCATTAGTGCTGATGATTTCTTTGAGTCCGATTGCTGACTGGAATAACAGCTTCCAAGACTTAAGCGTTTCAGTTTAATAATCGTTTTAGTTTCAGGTCAGATCTCTGTTAATTCTGGTCATATAAGATTATTATTTGCATCACTAGGATGCTCCATTTTTTATGCTTTCGGTATGTAAACGCTTAATAACTTTCACATTTACAAACCGAGCGATTGCATCAGATATGTCTTGGAAACGTCAATTCAGTACAACAGTCGTTCCATTGTGTTAACTCAACGTAAATATCGGAAAAAATTTCGCGGCGAAAAGGCACCATCTGGCAGGTAATCTGATTTAACCCCCCCTGGACTTCTTTTTGTAGGGTTATCTGAAAAGCAAGGTTTATGTCATCCTGTCTCAGATTACTGATGAGCTCAAGGCAAACATACGTGCTGAAATTGACGCTACTACAACCGAGATGCTCCAAAAGGTAATGACAAACGCAGATAAAAGGAGTAATTTTGTAATTGCGTATAAAGGTATTGTTTTCAAAGACTAGTCCAAAAAATTGTAAGTAACCAAACTGAATAAAAATACATCACTTAAAGAAATCGGCTGTTTTTTCTCAAAGTTATTCTATGGAGCACCCTGTATGTATTTGGAATACTACATTTATGTATTGTATTTACATAATAAATAAGAGATTTTCTTCTTTGTATGTAGGAAAACGCTATAAAAGCAAGAAACAAAAAAGGAAATAATTACTTGTCTTATTTCAAAATGATTTTTTGTTTGCTTTCCTAAAATGAATGAAATGGAAATGAGCATAGAACGACTGAAAACGACTTCTCAAGAAATTCATTTAAAAGCACAAGTATCACATATATATATATTTAAGTGATATATATATATATATATAGAACATTTATTTTTCAATTTAATTTACATTTTCTCAATATCATCCCCAACAAAAAAAAAAAGCATAGAAGAAAATACAAGAAAAAAGCCATCAACGTGGGGTTGACGTCAGGAAAATCACATTTCAAATTGTCATCACAACAATTTTTTAATAAATAACAAATGTACTTATCATTTGCATTTACTTTCTCTTTTCCCATTTCTTCCACTTTTTTCTTATTTGCTTCTCTTCACCCTGTTCACACACGCCCACTCGCAGAACGCAGCGCAGCGCTCGATACGGTGAAAAGTAGTCACAACTTCATTTGCAAGAATATGAGTTTACTCTGTTGTATGTCACGTCCGAAATATCTCTGAGAGGAAACATAGGGTTTGGTGAGGGCTGGGCAATGTTCAACAACAACAACAACAACAACAACGCAACCGGTTTTGACACCAGCAACAACAGCAGGAGCAGCAACAAGAATAACAGCAAGCGGGGCAACAATAAGAGGAGTAACAGTAACAGCTGAAACGACAGCAACAACAGCAAATAGTACATTAAGCAAATGGACGGATACATTATGTCAATTTTGTCGAACGAAAATTAATGCAAACAACAATTCATAGTAGGCAATTAACTAATAATAAGTGCGGGGGGTGTAGAGGAAAGCCGTAGAGAGTGTGTAACTATTTACTTAAGTAAGTAGATAAGTAAGTAAGTAACTAAGTAAGTAGCAAGTAAATAAAAATACAAAAAATAATTATTATTAATATACATATATGTATATAATATGTATGAGTATATGAATTTACATAAGTTGTTTCGTTCGTATGAGCATAGGCAGGTATGTACTTATGTACGAGTATATATGTGCACACTGAAGTAGAAATGCTTGTGTAATGATAAGGCAAAAAGTAAAGACACCAAAATATAGATAAACAAATGCGTAAAGTGTAAGGTAAGCCAAGTATGATTGTATGTATGTATATGAATTGTGTGTGTCAGCAAAGCGTACAAATAGACAAAAAGGCGCAATTATAATTAAATAAATATGCAAGCAAAGCAGCTAATGTCAATAAATCCACTAATAAATGTAGCAGAAATAATGTTTGTTTTACACCCATACATATATACACCAGTACTTATAAGACACACGCATATGGATGTATGTGTGTACTCACATTTATAAATAACTATCTACAATATATAATGTATAAACACAAGCAACATTTATTATTAACACAAACACCTTCTCTTTCACCAAATGTTCAGTAAAAGCCCCAAATGTTATGCACTGAGTTGCATATACATATATGTGGGTATGTATGTATTGATTTATATCACACCACGTTGTATAAAAATTAAAAGCTTTTACGCTATAGTTCACATATACATATATATCATATTTATTTAATAACATCTAAATAACTTAATTAGTTTATAGGTTAGCATTAAAATGAATCAATAAAATCTCTTGTACAATATATACATATATACGAGTATGTAAGTATGTATACACAAGAAAAAAGTAAACATATGTATGTGCGTCATTAATGAAATTGGCTGCATTAGCAAAATACAATCAATTTTTGTTCTTTGACATTAAAACTAAAAGTGTTTTAAGCTTTATTTAATAAATATTTTATTAGTTTTTAATATGCGCCCAAAAGGCTGCTTTGATTTTAATGGCTGTTGTTTATTTATTTGTTTATTTATTTACTTTAAACGTTTTATATACCTGTATGATCTTTATTTGAATAATTAATTAAGTTTATTATAAATATTATAATATTTTTTTTTTATTAAAATTCTTTTTGCTGCAGTGAGCCGGTTTGGTGTATGCAGTGGATTTAAATAGATTTAAATGGATTATAAAAAAGTGCTTGGTTGTGTATTCGTTATATTTTATTTGCGTTAATATGTGTGCAGCAGTTGTTCAAAAGAATATCTGCGAAGAGAAAAATGCAGACATTTCATAATAAAGGTAACAGACTTCTACGTTTTGGTCATCGATTTATCGTTTTAATATGTTTATATTGGATTTTGTAAAAAAAACTTTGTAAATCTGATATATAATATGACTATACAGTATGTAGCTAAATGAATAAGCTGCACAGTGGTACCAAGATTTCTTAACTCGGAACACTAAAAGCCAAATTATAACGTATTATTTTATTGGACCCATTATTTCTTGGTAAAATTTCACAAAAATACAACCGCGCATTTAGTAGGGAATAGCTGAAAATATTAGAGCTCCATATGCACGGGTATTGGGCAGAGAGCTCAAATGATGGTTGTTTGACATTTTTCCTTTCACCATTTTAAAATTTTTATACCAAATGCTCGAAAAGGTCCGAAAAGACTGGAATTGTTGAAATTCATGCTGCACGATCAAGTGTCCGCCTAAGCGATCACAAGCGGCAATAACATCTGTGGGTAGGTGTTTTAGTTACCAGATGGGAATGTTCGTTTGACAAAATAATCCTTTCCCTCTTATGAAAATTTTAAATCCAATTATATTTTATACATTCCATAAATTTTTTCTTTAATAGGCGTAGATTACCATTAGAGGTTTTTTAACGCGTTTGTGAACTAATTATCTTCCCATTATGGAAGCTCACTATCTCAATCTCGGTGTACATCAATTACTAGTCGAAAGGAGAATTATAATATGAGTAAAATCAAAAATTTGTTTCCATAAAGTAGGTGAATTTTTCTTGTTCTCGAATGAAGAAAAATTAAAAAAAAAATATAAAATATTTATATTTAAATTTGAAGCGTTTTTTACGAAAAACGTAATTTTTTGCATAATATTAGGTCACATATTGGCTTGTAAAATGAGTTAAAATAAATCCTTCCTTCAAGGACTACAAAACATGCATAAAAGAAGTGTGGGAAATTTGAATTCGATCGCTTCAATAGTCGTTGAGAACTTTTTACTACCGATTTCGATAAAGTGGTTTTAAGAAAATCCTCTTAATAGTTTCGCCATCGGTCAAGCCATGACAAAGACGGCGGGTTATAAAAATCTCTAATTTCTACAGTTTCGTCTCGATCGACTTGAAACTTGGGGAAAATATTCCAAATACTTTGTACTTTTATACAAGAAATTATCAAAATAAAGAATTTTTTGAAGTTTCAAGACCTGCATATGTCTCCCCTTAAGCATGTTGCTGGTTGGCGTTTGAGAAATTCGGTCAATATATTAACTTATTTTCATAAAAATAAAAGATGAAAAGGTCGAGATATTTTTAAGGTAGTTTCTGTTTAATTAGGCAAAAAATAGTTTACATTAAAATTTATGCACTTTGATAGAAGGATTTTGTTACATTAACCAAAAAATGCTATCCCAGTGCAGTTTAGCGCATAAAGTATTCAAAACAACATACATAAGATGATAATATTTATTAAATTTACTTACTACTATATATACAGGCACATATTTTGTATCTTGTAGGTTAGTTAAGGCCACCATGGGCTGGGTTGTGTTTCATTCCTTCTTCAATAATATCTTGAATGGTTCGTTCTTTATGGTTCACTTTACTATTCCATGGCGCTTGATTTTCAGATGATTGTCATGTTATTCTTTACCTCCTTATTTTACTCTTTTTAGAATACAATAGATACAAAATGCCACTCTCATTCGAATGTCGGGATATTTTGAAGCGGTCTTCTGGATAAAGCAACCAAATGCATATTTCATTAAGCAGTTCAAGGAAATATGCTTTAAGCATATTTAATATCGTGGTTAAGCTTTTTCAAAAGCTTTCACTTAAAATTCGGATAATATTGGTACAGAAATATTTTTCTGGTTGAATTTGAAACTAATAGAAGACTAGAAGAACCATTTCATCAGTACGCTATCATCACAACTTGACTTATAACATCGTTTGAAATATATTTTTAAAAAGTAATCACATTGCCCAATCTATTATGTTCATAAATATTACTATACAAAATGCTTTAAAATCTTTTCATTCATATTACTTTATAATATAATAAATTTTATAAATTAGCAGCTGCTACATTTGAGTGGTTAGGATTGCCCACTGCCATTGGGAAAATGAATTTTGATCGGGAGCTTTTTATGTCACGACAGAAATACACATTCCCTTCTGAGGGGTGACCAAATCAGAAAAATTAATGGACCTTGATATGGCCAAGAATCGAACGCAGAATCTTTCTCATGACAGTACGCAACGCTAACTGCTCGAGTATTCATTCACGAGCCCAAATATTAAATAGCGCGCCAGCAGAAAAGTCTATGTTGTTGTTTTTTTTTTTTTGTAATTGCCACTGGCATACTCAATATATTTTAAAAACTTTTAGTTGCATTTGTGCAATATATTATATTCACTAAATTTATTTCGTTGTTGTAAAGTTTAATGTTGACTTCGAGGTGACGAAAAAGTTTGTTGAAAATTTTGGCAATATTTATTCAAAGCCGCCTTGACCTTATAGAAATTTTTAATTTCTTCCATAAGCTTTTTTCAAAAGTTTGGTAAAATACATTAATGACAAGGTCATAAGCTTCCGTAATATGGTTTTAAGCCACAAATTTAGGGTCCAAATCTTCTGCAATTCAAAATATTATATACAGCCCAACGAAAGGCATACGTAATTTTACAATGTATTGACCAAAAGCACGAAAAGTTTTAAACTCTAGTTGAATTGAATTCTATTTGTATAAGATTAAATGACGGGTAGCAATGCATTTGATTAGATTTGATCCTCATCAGCAGCGATTAACCTCGCAACAGCCCGTTGTATACTGGGCAAAAAGCAAATAAATCAACGTCCACGAATCCACGATCTCACTAGCAGTAGTCGAATCGCAGAGCTATCGTTATTGTTCGAGAGTTAGACTAGACTCTTTTTTTGTGTGATTTGTATAGTTCAGGCCTATTCTTACTGTTACCGGTAAAGTAAATTTTGTTACTTTTCTTTAACAACCGAAATTGAATTTGGTATTCTGGCGAACTGGTTACAATATCTGAAAAAAATTTGGCAGCACTGCTCTTTTCGTCCATGTCAAGTTACATTTGCCAGTTGATAAAGTAAAAAGAAAAATATTCACATCGAAATGGAAGACCGTGCTCTTCAAAATAAATAAGTTTTATTTATTTGTTTATTAAATCATAAATATTTCAATCTTATTATGGAAAATATGCCTGGACAACAAGAAAAGCTGAATGAAAACGTTATCTTACAAATTAAAGAGCTATTATTTAGTCTCGAAAACATCTTAAAATACGGCTTTTTGCACTTTTTTCTTCATCTTCAATGAATTTTGGTTTTTTATTTTTTCTCAAACTTACAACATAAAATCAAACAGCAGATATTTTTGTTACCTCCTATTTCGCTGGTAACAAAA